CGGTCAGAAACTGGCTTAATTCTGGATGGTTGGGGCAGCAAAGGGTAAATAGTGCCAAACCTGCACTCCTTTTGCACAAACCTAATATTCGCTCAGAGAATATCATTCAAACCACCTTACTAAACTTCGCCGACTATTTGCAGCAACATGGACTCATAAAAAGAGGGAATCTTGTCGAACGGAGACGGTTCCGTGCAACCTCTTGCTGTCTCAAGGAAACTCTCCGCCCTGCCTATAAGAATTCGCAGCACTAGTTACCCTTGACTGTACCAATCTTCCGGAAAAAGACCAGTTTCTGACCGATTTTTTTCTCCGATTGGGGCAGTAAGGCAACGTTCACACTTCGCGACAGCAGTGGCGATTGCCGCGATCGTCGGTACGCGTCAGAGCGCGCCCCAACGCTATTACTTGGACCGCTCGCTTTGATAAATAAGGGAATCCAACTTGTAATACCTTTTTCTCTTAATAATGGCTACTAGCTGGGAACTGAGGACTTTCTCAACCTGAGGGGATCTGAAATATAAGCAAGAAATAAGTATAAGAGGAAATGGTTCCACCTTTTATTTAGGCTGAGATAAGTGCAACTTCATTTGATAGGTGAGCTTCTCTTCGTTTCTTGGGACCCGGGCGTTATCGTCGGCAACTCAGGTCACGCCGCACACGTCGCGTCCAGTCCCGGGGTTGCATTACCGTACTCCCGAGTTGTCACTGGAGCAAAGGATTAGCGTTGTTTCACGGCGTCCTCGACCCACATTATGGAAAGATTTGCTAGAGCAATTTCTTTAAATTCCTCTGCAGCAACAACGTAACCATCTACTATTCACTGCTACACTGGTGGGGTCAGTAGAAATTGGTACGCTTGACCTCGTTAATGACTTGTCTCGCACCTATGATTCGAGGCATAATTAGCGAGGTGCGAAGCGACCTCATTAAGCCGAGGCACGTCAGCCGAGGCGGGCACGAGCTTTCCAAAATCGGCACAAATTGAGTGAAAACTCCCAACAGATTAAGGTTAAGGCTTACGAAAAAGAAAAAAAGATTAAGGTGAAGGCTTACGAAAAAGTAGTACGATAAGGTAGCGCTACCTGACAAACTCAATAGAATGGTATATGCGTAGCTTTTAGCTAACCAATATTCAAGTAATCGATAGAAAAAAATGTAAATCCGGTCATACAAGAGTTCATGACAAGAAGCTTCAAGAAGGTCTCGTGGAAACCCATACGCTTACGAAGTGCATTCTTGCATATAGCTGAATCTCATTGCCTGCCTTCGGCGGGTTAGTTCAGGTAATGCCCCTCTGGCCTTCTATATTGGCCCGGTAATGACTTCTCTATCACTTAACACTCAGAGTTGTTTTGTATTTTGAGCAATCCTTTATCTTTTACATTGTATTTCAAGTTACTAAATCCCATCATTGACATATTTCCTGATTCCTGATTCCTGCTGTACCACCATGCACATTTCCTCCCGCACTAGCACCTTATCACTTCGTCGGTCAGGAACCAACATACTGCGTTACTCCAGCACACATTTTTGAGAACATCTTCTTCGTGACGGTCAGGAAAGCACATCTTATTATCAGCGCCCGCAACTACACCAGCCTCACCGCCTAAACGTTATTACGTGAAGTCCAGATTCATACCGCCACACTATCCGCCCACACAACACTTAAGGGTACACCTACGGCCCGCCCGTAACACTCCCGCATGACTTTAATTATTTTCAGATTCAATGAGCTTTATCAGCAGGGAGTATCAAGCGCCCAAATAGAGTCCTACTGCAGAAAGATGTCCCAGTTTGTTACAAACAAAACCTATTATGAACACTATTTATTGATTTGCACACTTCGTTTATTGTTTGAATAGTTGTAATAATATTAATAATAATAATAATAAACTAATAAATAGCTGGAATATATAGCAACCTTTTTACCCACTTCACCGAAAATTTTCAATGGATTCGTGCCTGGATAGCTCAATACTTCTCCTCTTACCGGGGCCAGCCGAAGTTAGCGCGACGTGCCTCGGCTTAATAAGGTCGCTTCGCACCTCGCTAATTATGCCTCGAATCATAGGTGGTGCAGCACAAGTCGATTACAAACCGAGTCAAGCGCTACCAATTTCTACCTACCCCACTGGTGATACTCGCTCCATTTTTCAACCTTTACTGCTGGAAATAGTTGCCTGGGTTTCTACATTTTTACCCCAAACTTATTTTACACCTTTGTTATTTCCTTACTTTCACGATTAAACATAGTACTTTTTTTGCTGTTTGTTTTTCTCATTTCTGCATATTTACGAGGTTTATAGTTATCGAACTATTTTTAAACATGCAACTCTCTATATCTTTTCGGCCGCATATACTTGCATCATTCTACTTTTTGTGCCTGTTTTTCCCCCATTACTGGGCGGGGAGTTGGTACATTGTGGCATTTTTTCAACTTGAGCTCCATCGAGCATTTTCTCGACCTCGCAACAGGACCATGCACAGAAGTTCAAGATGTCACGTAACCGAAAATACAGCATTCCGTCACCCACGCAAGTCTTACTTTCAAAGATCATCTCTTGGACGTATCTCATTTGTTCCAAGCTTTGAGCGTGTATCACCCTTACCGCTCTCAGATGCTGCATCAGGGGCCGTATTTGGCGCAGCGGCCCTGTTTTATTTCAGTCGTTGCCACTTGCCCGCTTCAACAATTGTTGGAGAACGGGCTGGTGCCGAGCCAGCCAATACCTCTCCTAACGCGCCCGCAGCATAAGCAGCAAAAGCAACAGTGCCCTTCTTGACACGTGACACGAATCCGACATTGTGTTCCATGACGTCATCTGCCTCCGATCGCTGCTGAGCTGGAAAAGCAGGAGGTTTCCACTTGTAGTTGACCTTGCTTTTTTCGGACCAAATGTCAGCAAAATCGTAGCTGCATTCTCAGGCACAGGGAAAACAAAAGTGACGGCTCACATTGTCTTGCTATCTGCTGGTGAGACAAGAATACCACGGAATAGTTGTGAGTAATTTAGAACCTCACTCTGGGATTCCCATGCATTTGTCACCGCGTGACAAATGACAAACTCATTGGAACCGCGGTGGCAGTGTCTCCCTTGTGGGGTTAAATAAGCGATCACTGAAAAAACGGTCATATGTTTTACGATAATATTGCATTGAAATACAGCTTTATTCTCACCCACGGAAACAACTTCTCTAAAAACGATGCGAACTAAAAACTGGCTTCAAATGAATAATGGCAAACGTTCTATGAATTATGGCAATTGTTCTCAAAAAGTCAATTGCTAGAATCAGTACCCATAGATGTAGCAGTCAAAAACGGAACCTAGCGATATAACAGTGATGAGAAAAAGGGAAGGCGCTTCTAGTTATACTGAAACAATGGTAGAGAGACGGTTTTGAAGCGAGAATTTCCACGAAAAGCAAAAGCAAGCAAAGCGTACAATCACTTGGATCTTTTTCTGACTGCGATAATTTAAGGTTCCGCTTCCTAGAGGTGTTTCATTGCTCTGTTGCTGGTTGTGCTGCAACGTCGGCAGCAGCAACGCGGTCATGCCACCTACCTACAATAAGAAATTACTAAGAATTGCACGTGCACTTCTTTTAGAAAACCATAGCAAATGTCAAAATATGCAATGTGAGCATACCTAAGCGGCTCTAGAAACTATAGTTGGCGTAGGATACGAACCAAAGTCACGTTGCTGCCACCAAGTACTTGAAAAGTTTGTCGACCTCATTCTTTTTAAGAAACTTCTTGAAAGAGTCCATTGCTCAGTCGTTTACTTAATAATTAAAGAATAAAAGAATGTAACGGTGAGAACTGCTGAGTGAAGAGGTATTCTAATTCGAGAAAAGCGATATCACTATTTATTGCAGAAATCATGGTAAATACAGGTGTCATTCACGAAACAAGAGGCAGAATATAGAAGAGCTTCACTACTTCTGTTCATATACTGAATAAATAGCCTGAACAGTCTTGTGTGCTGCGGATGATGATGTGTGTCCTGAGGAAAGGGTGTGGCGCAGCGCCAAATTCACTTTCTACCGCTTGTTGGAACGAGCAGCAAGAAGCAATCATATCCTTCATATCAGTCGTATTCCACCGATTGTAGTCGCTTACCCGCTTCAACAAATAGTGGAAAATTGACTTGGCGCCGTGCCAAATTCAGCCTCACAGACACGCCTTACCATCCCCAGCGTACAACTCAGTACAAGCAGTGCTAGAGACTAGTATAGACTGGCTGACCAATAGAGGAACAGTTTTGAGTAGGGGGGACAGGGAACGCTAGCAAAAAAAAGGTGTAACAAAAGGAAGTGAAAAACTCACATTTCCAGTAACTAGCAGTGCTGCATCAAGAAACATCAAAATACTAAGAAATATGAAGGGCGCACCAAAAGCGGTGAGATCAACACCAATTTCTGAAAACATTCAAAAGGCATATACAACCGAAATAATTCCCAAAAAAAGATAACTTACGCTTGGTGCTAACTTCGAAGTTCATCATTTTGCTACCGCTCAACTTCTTCAGAATCGTATTAAGGACGTAATTCAAGTTGTAAAATGAATTCGGGGATCCTTATTCTGTAAGACAAATAACGCTACTTTCACAGAGGTACACTGTTTTGTTTACAAAGGAATTACGATTATACACAAATTTCCTAGCTATCAAATTCTAGTGCCGGGAAATAATCAAGGAAATGCATATGCCCTCCTAATTCACTCGACAAAAGTCATGAAATAACGAAAGCGTTAGAACCAATCTCAAACTACTGCAATCACTTATTTGGAATTAGGAATGCATCGGTTGAACGGCTAATCAATCCCCACAAAAGTTTATTTATGATCAGAGTGCAGTATAGCTCCGAAATGTTACGCGTACAAAATAACGTTAGAGATGAAGATGACAGAACCTTTCGCCAACTTGAAGCGGTTAAGAACACCATTCTCATCAGTAGCTTGTTGTCGCGAATCGTCAGCAGGGATCAAACTTATTGCAAGGGTTTGTAAACAATATCAGAATAAAGTTTCACCTAAATATAGAACTGCATAGTGTTGTCGGACCTTTGAGCAGTAACAAAAACGAACACATCTTGTTAACATAAGGTACAAACTCCTGTGGGAAGAACTTTTCACGGTCTCTGGCAGCATTTGGATTTGATGCGGAAGAATAGTGCCTGAAATAAAGAAATGAGCACTAGAGAATAAGTAAAGGGATATACATACTGTTAACTAAGTATAGTGTTTGCGGATTTGCTCCCTGAATTCGTTCCATTTCTCTGCCTTCTTTAATCAGAACGAAAGTTGGCATAGCGCGTATACCATATTGCCTACTTACGGTCCCCATCATTGCGGATCGGTGGGGCGTGTCAGCCAGTATGAGTGTGCACACTGTTGAAGCCGTTCTCAGCCTTTTGTTGAAACGCGTATGCGACAAAAAGTGGTAGAAAACGAGTAATACGAAGGATATAATAATGTCACTTGCCCGCTTCAACAACTGGTGCAGAACGACTTTGGCACCGCGCCAAACGCAGCCGCACTGACACGCCCCACCGGTCCGCAATGATGAGGACTGTATGTCTGAAAATATCATAACATCAACTTTATAGAGAAAGTAGCCCTGTCACAACTTTGGTAAAGCTGTGAAGAGCTTAGGCGGAACGACTATCAGTATGAAACAGCACTAGGTAATTACAAGATCAAGAACTTTGTAAAAATTACTATGTTTGAAAACTATTCTCAGGAAATATCCTTTTCGCATAAAGATCTTTTTCACACGATGATTCATCAGATTATGTGCCGCATAAGAACTTCCAGCGAAAAAGGTAAAATCGACGAAATCCCCTATTTTTGTGTTCGAAGTGAGGTGTAACAACAAAAGAGGGTTCCCGATGGAGAACACTGGAAATTTGGGGGCGAACCAAAATGGTTTGAATTCCAAAGGTAACCTCAAGATTAGTCAATAATCATAACAAGAAAATAGGAAACAGGATAAGAAAGACATAATAGGAAAAGGTATAATCAAAATCTTCCACATTGTTGAAGGGATCGTCAACCCTTTAACAATTTGAACGCCACGCAACAAAACTCGTACGCGGCGGCCGCCACGCCGCCTCGCTCCGCCCACCGGCGCGACGACCCACTTATCGTCGACGATAGAATCGCCACACACCTCAGAACATTTATAGTTTACAGGTAGAGTTCAGACAACGAAAAAAAATAGAAAGGAACTCACCTAGGAATCAAAACACTAATTTGTTTTATGCAACATCGAGGGGAGAAACCTTATAACTTCATGTATAAGCTCGAAGAATGAAAAAAGAAACAATAAGAAACTTACTCTAAATGAAGCCTCCTCGCTTTTTGCTCATTTCTATCCTGAATCAAAAAAGAAAACTAGAAAAAAGCTGGTAAATTCCATCCACCTTTTCTTGAGTCAAAACGAGCTCTAGTACCTGAGTCAGTTGCAATTAAAAGAAAAAAGCAGGAAATCAAGCCAGTCCTCCTAATAGCACTCGGAGCGGTCCAAGTAATAGCGTTGGGGCGCTCAGTACCAACGATGGCGGCGACGGCCACTGGCTCGCGATCGGTCGCGAAGTGTGAACGCTGAAGGGTCAATAGTATCAATCCAATAGCCAACTAGTTTAACGAAGTCTGGAATGTAAGTAGGCGTATCTTCCAGTTGCGTCGAATCACAAGAAGGGCCGCAGACCCAAAAGATCGATCTCAAGAAAATGTTCAACGAAGGTGAACATGCTATAATCACTATTCGAGCTGAAGTGATCAGGAGAGGTGCCATTGCCAGTTTACGGTAGGATGAATTATGAGTTTTTTCTTTTGTTTTCTGCCTCTCCTCCCATGTCAT